GAGTTGTTCAAAATTTGTATGAAAGTCTTTTTAAAAATGTTTCCAAGGTTTTGCACTTTAAAGTGTGTGTATCCAAGGTAACAGAAAAGACAAAAGTCTTCGTAGCAATCAATTATTTACTTTTACATGCAAATTCTACACAAGGCAAGAAAATAACTCTATGGTCTAATTATTTTCTAAGTATTTACATGAAGTGAGAAAATATTGATCAGTAAAATGTACTCTTGAAATCCCTTGTGTCCAGAGAACTAAGAATTATAGTACAGAAAGCCCTGGGTTTGATTCTAAGCATTGAAACAAAATTTCTAGGCTAAAGGTATAACTTTGCTGGCAGAGCACTTGCCTAGAATGCCTTGGGCTCAGTTCCCATCACTGAAAACAAAACAACATTATAAGTCTTGATGTCATAAGAATTAACTAGCAATTAAAAAAAAAGCTGGATTTGGAGGCGCATGCCTTTAATCCCAACACTCCAAGGCAGGGGCAGGCCAAGGCAGGGGCAGGCGGATCTCTGAGTTCAAGGCCAGCCTGGTCTACAGAGCTAGTAGCCAGAGCTACACAGAGAAACCCTGCCTTGAAAAATAATAACAAAATAAAATTTGCACAAAACACATGAGATGAAATTCATACTAATCATACCTGTATAGTTAACTGGTGAGCCGTCGGATCTGGTCCACATGAGCTGCGGGGTGGGGTAGCCAGTGGCATCACACCTCAGGAGAACATTACTGCCTAGAGCGGATGTGATTTTGGTAGCTGAGGTCATCACTGATGGCTTCAGACACTGTTCCAACTCCGCCCTCTGGAACAAGATTCCTTCCAGGCGCTCAGGTTCACTGCAGACCATCAGAGGGTCAACAAGTACAACAGCATGGTCAGCAACTTTTGACAACTCAATCACTTTGGAAATGTGACAGTCACAGAACCAAGGGTTGTCCTGTAAACCTAAAATGCAGAGAGAAAAGGAACAGGAAGGGTTATCCTGATGGACTACATTTTCAGCACAGCTTGTCTTGTGACAGATGTTGCCACACTATCTCCCTAACAAATGAAGATCTAGGAGGGACAAAGTACAGTCACCTGCACGTCAACTTTGCCCTGGAAGCCAGCAACCTCAGTGAGATTATCCTCTTCTACTTGTATTTCCCAACCTCCACTCCAAACACTAACCTTTACTCTCTCATTTAATCCCAACAATCCTGTGAGGAAGTCAGTATTATTATTGTTATTACTATTATTATTTCCATCTTAGAAGTGAAGAAACTGAGACACAGAGGAGCTAAAATCTTGACTAACATCACATAGCTAATCAGGATTGGAGCCAAGATTTGAACCCAGGTACCACAGATAGAGACATAGTTGTGGAGAGCTCAGAGAGTACCCTCTAGTGCATCACATGGTGCTAAGAGTTGCTAGCTCAGCCTGGAATGTGCCGTGGGTCTGTGTAACTTGAAGATATATTGGGGTAAAATGAGGCCAGTGGAGCAGAACCAGCAGGAGGAGAAGACCAGAAAGTGACATTGCATAGATGTCACACATGGTGGCCACCAAGGTGAGGTGCCCAAAGTCTTAGTGCAAGAGGGACCAGCTGCAAGGGACATAAATGCTGAAGGTTTCCAGCCAGTCACACATGGTGGCCACCAAGGTGAGGTGCCCAAAGTCTTAGTGCAAGACCAGCTGCAAGGGACATAAATGCTGAAGGTTTCCAGCCGTGAGCTCATTCCTGTCTACCTCAGCCTTAGGAACTGTGAGCTGACATCAGCTGGCCCTCAAGGAGCCTGCCATTGAGAGCTTAAAAGAAGGCTGGTCTACAGTTATCAGAAAGGAGAAGAAAGATCCTTGTTTCAGAATGGCAGAAAGGTCAGTGGCATGGTCAGGAGTAAGTGTGAAGAGGAGAAAGCATGTTTATGTAGCAGCATGTTCTCTACTTAAGGAAATGCCCAGGCAGAACATTGAAGGTGACACTGGAGAGGGAGCTCCTTGCTCGTAGGAAAGGAGGCCATTCAATATAAAAGAATCAAAGTCATTGGGCTAATTCCCAGCCTCTCCAAAATTACCACATTAAGAAAGGCATTCAAAACAAAGCAATCCATAGTGCTTTGGAAAGTCTATGCAGACTTTCCAAAGCACTATGGATTTGGAAAGTCCATGGAAAGTCTCATGGAGACCCAAGGTGGTTCTTTAGAACACACCCTTGGGCAAATGTCTCTAAAGATGCTCTTCTGCAGCCAGTGCAGTGGCCTTGCCACCAGCTTGAGAAGCAGGCTGGCCTTGGAGACTTGTATTTGTGGCTTTTACTGCTAGCATGGCATCTGAGCAGAGAAGCAAACAGAACTGTGATTTAAGGAAGTTCAGCAGTGCTGCACACTGAACTGCCTGTTTGTAGGGCCACGTTTTCACTTCAGCTTAGTGGTACTGTGACAGCAGGCCATGAGGGCTCCATCTTCTGCCAGGACTGGTTACTTTTTAATCTCCTGTTTGAGAAGTTTGTTTTTCTCCTATGGGTGAATAACCTTGAGTTCTTCCCTCTCACATTAAATCCTGTGAATCTGTGACTAGTCTGCTAATTAATATTAATTTGCCCTCTTTTTCTTTTTATATTGGCTCTTTCACCTGGTTGGATGCCGGAAGCAGACTTCTTAGTTTCTTTTTTATACTGAATAACTGAGAGTGGCTTTGAAACCTAATATCTCGCTGAAATTGTAATTCTAGAAAGCTCTACAACATTATGCACTATGCAATAACTTCTCCCCAAATGTATACAATGGCAGCTATTCTGCCACAGATTTTCACAGGAGAGAATACACTGAATTAGAAGAAAGGAGATTTAGGAAAAATTAAACATTATGATTTGTTAGATCATAAAGCCTCTAAAATGATCTTTCTGCATCAGCTTGTACAAAATCCATTCCAAAACAGACCAAAGACCTTCAATATAAGGCCTGAAACTAAGAAGCTATTAGAGGAAACATGTCAAGATTTGGCAGAAACAATGAATTTCTGAATAGGATTCCAATACCCAAGGAAGTAATAGCAAGAACCAACAGATGGCATTGTATCAAATTAACAGGTTCTGCACAGTACAGGAAATAATTAACAGCAAAGAGACAGCAACTGATAGAATGAGAGAAAATTCTAAACAGTCAGTCACTCATCCAACATGGGAGTAGTAACCAGAATTCATGAAGAACTCAAAGAACTAAGAGCATAAGCTCAAATAATCTGATAAAGAAATTGGCAAATGACCTGAACACTTTCCAAGCAAAGAAGTATAAATGTGAAAAATATTTACTATCCTTAGTCATCATGGGAATGAGAAATTGAAACTGAGAGTCCGTCTCACACCAACCAGTCAGGACGACTGACATTAAGAAGGCAAAGGATGTAAGATATAGCCTGGCGATGGAAGCCTTGCCTAGCTTGCCTGCCATGCTTGCCACACTAAGTTCAACTCCCAATATGAGGGAGATTAGAAGGGAAGAAGGGAGGGAGAGAAAAAGGGAGGGAGAGGAAAAGGAGGAGAGGAGAGGGAGACAAGACAATATCAATTCTGGGAGAATGCAGGAGAAGAAAGCCCCTTATATTCTGTTAGTGGGAATATAAACTAGCCCAGTTACTATAAAAATCGGTATGTAGTTTCCTCAAAAAAATAGTATGGGGGTTGGAGAGATGGCTCAGAGGTTAAGAGCACTGGCTGTTCTTCCAGAGGTCCTGAGTTCAATTCCCAGCAACCACATTGGAGGCTCACAACCATCTGTAATGAGATCTGATGCCCTCTTCTGGTCTGTAGGATTACATGCAGGCAGAACACTGTATACATAATAAATAAATAAATAAATCTTAAAAAAAAAGAAAGAAATGGCTGCAACCATTCCAAATTGTGAGTAATCCTAAATGTATATAAAACAAACAAACAAAAACAGTATGGTAGCACACATCTGTCGTGCCAGCACTAAGGCACATGAATTATAAGTTCCAGGACAGCTGAAGTTACGTAGAGACTCTGCCTCAGAAGAAAATGGAAAACTGAACAAACATATACTACCTCTGAATATATATACCCAGAAAAATCAAAGCCAGCTTGCTATAGATATCTGCATCTCCTATTTGTCATGCTACCATTCACACAGAGACAAGTTAAGAAATCAGCTGAGGTGCCAAGAGATGAATGGATACGGAAGCTGTGGTATATACATACAATGGGGTTTTATTCAGCATGCTATCTAGTTCTACGTCAACTTGGCACAAGTTTGAGTTGCCTAGAAAGATGGGACCCTGAGAAAATTCCTCCTTAGAAAATGCCTGTAGGCAAGTCTGTAGGATATTTTCTTGATCGATGATGGATGTGGGAGGGTACAGCCCACTGTGGGCAGTGCCACCCCTGGGCTGGTGGTGTACTTATACTAGATGGTATAAGGGACCAGGCTGAACATGCAAGCCAGGAGAAGCAAGCCAGTAAGCAGCATTCTTTCATGGCCTCTGCTTCGATTCCTGCCTCCAGGTTCCTACCCTTCTTGAACAAACAAGCCAGGAGGAGCAAGCCAATAAGCAGCATTCTTCCTCTGCATCAGTTCCTGCCTCCAGGTTCTTGCTTTTCTTGAGTTCCTCCCAAGGACTTACCTGGAAGTGTAAAACCTCCCCAGGTTGCTTTTGGTTATGCTGTTTTATCACACTTCTGAAATTTGCCAATTTCAGAAGAATGGATGAAAGTGGAGCTCATCCATTCATCCAAAAAGCCAGATTCAGAAAAACAAACATCATGCTGTCTTGTAGAAGGAAGGAAAAAGACATGAAAGTAAAAGGAAGACTGCTGAGGATATGGAAGGAGATATAAGGGGGTGGTACATAAGAGATGGTCATACGGGGGATGAATTTGATTCAAATGCATTGTATGTATGTTTGAAAATGTCACAACTAATATATGATCACTGAAAAAAGAACTAGCCTGGAGATGTGGCTTGGTGGTAGAACTCTTGCTTAGGTTCAAGGCCCTGGGTTCAATCCCCAGTACCCCTCCCATTATTTTTATTTTATTTTATTTGTTAAAAATAATATTTGGGTCTTTTCCACTCTGACCTACACAAATGAACAAATTGATTGGATTCATTGGTATACGCAGTGCCAGAAACTTGTACAAATCACAAAAGGTTAGAAGTCAACTGAAATTCCAGAAGCATGGGCTGTAATTAGTAATAAACCAGTGAAACAAAAGTATGACTCTCCCCTCTCAACTGGTCAGCTCTCACAGAGAACATCCAGTCATGGACTTGCTCACCAATCTAAGAGCTGGGACACTAGTGAGAAGAAGGACAAGAGGAAGGCAGGATGCAACAGGTAAAGTGCTTCCCATTGCATATATGTTGTCACCGTGTCAAAGACTGTGAGAAGGAACATGTGAAATCCAGAGATTCAGAATGGCACGTGGACACACCCACCTTAGTGTAGTGAAAAGATAAAGATGTACTATAAAAGCTATTCACATGGAAATAAGATATGAAGAGCTTTATGTTTTAGATCTATTAATTTTGATGAACATTCAATGTTTAAAACTCTATGCTCATCACAGTATATAAATATATATGCATATATACATACATATATATATATATATATATATTTAACCTATGAATGTGTGCCTTGTGAGTTCATGTGCATCATATGTGTGCAGGTGTGCATAGAGGCCAGAGGGCATCAGATCACCTGGAACTGGAGTTACCAGTGGTTGTGAGCTGCCCAATACGGGATCTGGGAAATGGATTCGGATCCTCTGCAAGCGCTTTTAACTGCTGAGCTATCTCTCTAGCCCCCGCTATGCCATTATTTGACTTTGAAACGGATGTTTAACTCGCCCAACAGTTCAAAGTCACCATTTCCTGTAACAGCTAAGGTGTGAAAAGTACTTTTGTTTAAAAACGCCTTGGCTGGCGATGCTGGCCAGTTTCCTT